CTTGTCCCTGCTTTGTTTGCATTTTGTTTGAATGTGTCATCGGTCAGACATTTCACTGGTGAGCCCAGCATGTCTCACTGAGCTATTATTACATTTCTCTTCTCTGGATATTTTACCAAAAAATGCCCTAAAAAAATGCTGAGGTTGAGGTAATTTTTGTCCACTTCTTATTCTTTAGAACTAAAATCTTGGTGAAATTGGAAGAAGTCGTAACATCTGTTACATCCGACTGAAAGACCTGACCGCTTCACCATTTGTTGTACGTTATTTAGACAGCCCTCTATACTCAAACTCAAACTGGACGTTATTGAGACAATTTTTTTCGTAACGATTTGGGGTGTGTTGTGTGTGTGTGCGTGTTCCACCTGTCCCCCACGCAGGCATATACACACACACACACACACAGACAACAACAAGTTCTCTGGGTTATTGAGACCATTAATTTCTTTTTCTCTTTTTAAAAAAAAAAAATTATTAAAATAAAACATAAATGTAGGTATTTTAACATCCCCAACTACACAATTTTGATCATTTTAGAGGCTGGCTTTCTATCCTTTCTTGGGGATTTGGGGTGTGTAGTGTGTGTGCGTGGCCCACCCCGTCCCCCACGCTCGCACACACACAACAGGTTCTCTGGGTTATTGAGACAATGTGTTTCTTCTCTCTCTCTCCCCCCCCCCCAGGCTCTGGGCAAACAACACACAAGCCTCAAGCGGCACCACGAGAGCGGCGTGCACCATGAGGAGGAGTTCCTGGAGGAGACGGCCCAGAGGGAGGAGAACTACCAGACCTCCATCTCTGATCTCGAGCAGGACCTCAAGGTCTGCCGCGCCGCGCTCACACGCGTCTCCGACGAGAACGAGCGGCTCAACGGGGAGATTGCCGAGCTCAATCATCAGGTAGGAGGCGGAGAGTGTGAGGGGAAGAGAGGGACGGAGATTGTGTGAGAGACGGGGAGAGTGAGAGACAGGGACAGAGATTGTGTGAGAGAGTAACAGAGGTTGTGTGGAAGGTTGTAGGAGTGACGGGGAGAGAGTGACAGAGTTCGTGGGAGAGAGTACAGAGATTGTGAGCGATAAGCAGAGAATGAACCATTCAACGTGTAAATTGACAAGCTCCATCACGGGGTAATGTGGGGGGGGG